ATCATAATCGATCGGTCAAATTTCTTTCTCGAAGGCCCCATAGGGATTATTCTTTTAATAAAAATGGAGAATACCTGAGGAATCCTCAGAGATTTACTCAGATTCATGAAACGCAACTTGATTAATTACCATCCCCGAAGAGTATGTTTATCGAATTCTACGAAATTTGAAAGCAAGGTCTCTCACAGATTATTTGTGACTGATGGGATTTTGGATAGCTTTAACGGAATTAATATGCAAGACCATCAATCTCTCTGTACTGTATTTGTCTTTGTACACGTCTGTCGTACTGTCATGGGATTAAAATTTTTATTAATATAGTTTTGAATAGATTACATATTTCGGTTAACTTACCAAATATATGTATTATTGATCAAGAAAGAATTCATCTATTTTGAATCAAATAGAAAAAGCATAAATTCGGGACAATATTTCTAATTAATTTTTAAACTTTATTTATTAATTATATTTTTGCAAATGTAGTTATTAATTTATCTCTAAAAAGCTTGACTTATTCAAATCGTAGGACACACTCTAATATTACTATAAAATCAAAATGTATGCTCTGCGTATGTTCATACGTTACATGTTATAAATATATAAATATATATAAAAAAATAACGTAAACTGGAAGACTTTATACAAAAAAAAAAAACTGGAACGTGTTCGCGATCATTTTATCAAAAATTTGCAAAACCTGCAACTTTCGTAAATACATTTTTTTACAAAAAGAATAAATCCTTGTACATTTGATCGCCAGTCCGCCGTCGTTTTTCTAAGCTTTTCACCAAAATCTCGTCTTATATGTCTACAATGGCACATGCGCGGATAAGGAGACGCGGGAGGTAGCCGCGTTTTCGGTCAGTCGGCCGAGAGCCGTCGAGGAACTCGAGTTGTATGCGAATTTTAGTGTCGTCCGCGATACGCGCACGAGGTTTCGGAAATTCATTGTTGAAAGTTAACAGAAATTACGTCCGATTCACTTAGAAAGCATAACACTTCCGTGCTGCGAAATGCATCGATCGCTGTAAATGTCGATGACCAAACGCAGAACTGACGGGCGAGACTTTCTCTGTCTCTGACTGGTCAAAATGGGAACTCCGGTCAAACATACTGACGCAATGATGGTCTCAAATCTTTTCCACGCAAAAAATTTGCATGTGGAAATGAGACGTCGTATACAATCATGATTAATTGCAACTTAAACCGAGAAAAGGCTCTGGAGGTTCTGACAGTTCGGTCGTGCGAAAGAATCCAAAGAAAAACGTGACTCGACTGATAGAGCCCGCGAGACCGCGACGAACTTGGGGGTTACTAGTGAATTTCCGGGGATATATTGGTGTGCTAGTGACAAAGAAAAATCGATCTTTGTGTCTAAGTGTCTTCAACTCCGACTTGTGTAGACCGATAGGAAATATACATATTTAAATCACAACCGAACGATGTGCTTGACGAAAATATAATTGATAAAACTATTAAAAATATTACGTGCTGTTCACGTGATTAATAATTCTTGATTTTTTATTGATTGAATTTATTAAAGTTATTTAAAATTAACCATTTTTTTTATTATTTATGTTTTCAATTAAAATTTCACCGATTATATTTGAGAGAAGACCTCGAATTATCAGAAATTCTATGAAGATCGCCCCCAAATTTGATACCAAGGCACTCTAATGTATTTAACTACGAAGTTACTGTACTGACGACGTATAAAACATGACACGTCAAACTGCCGAATGTGTGTTCGGTGAAGGACTCAGTCTCGCGGAAGTTAGTATGCACGAAGGTTAATGTTCCTGTCTCTCCAACTAGAACGACGAGGAGGAACACACGAAGTTAGCCAAGCATGAACAAGGGAAGATCCGGTGCGACGGCCACCCGGAAAATTTTCATAGAGCTCACACCACAAGGCTATCACGTCCAATAAATTAATTTCTAGGTACGTTGATTGTGGTCTGCCGACTGACATTACACATGTAGAATTCTAGTATCTTCGGTATCTGCCTAGAATATTTTACATTCTATTTACGGGTTACACGTGGGCATACATAATGCAATGTAAAATAACTGTTAATCGACTGTTGCGGTGATGTCAACGTCAACATTAATTACAGGAAATTAATATTGTGTGTTTACAATTGTAAATTCACAGGTTACCATTATCTAAAAAATATCACACGTATTTTGATATCTCTATTAGTTGTAGTGTATTATTTACTTATTAAGGTATATTTTATTAATACAATATATATATATACCTCAAAATTAAATTAAAATATAATTTTACGATTATACAAGGCATAGAAGAGAAAAAAGAAAATTATATTTTTAAAATAGTACAAATTATCTTTAGATCCGATTTATGAAATTTAAATCACATCTTTTGTTATTTGTTGTGGGTATTAGCGTACATTGATATATTAATTAAGCCTTTCAATCGCGCATCTCCACAAAACTTGGCAAAATTATTGGCCGTCTTTGAATGCACGCCGCGACGGACATGTATTTACGTAACTTTCTGTTTAACTCGTTATCCAAAAACTCTGCCAATTGTACGAGTTTCTGTTCACATTTCACAGTGTGAACGTATCGACTTTCGATACCCGCGCCCATTGCTGATTCACAACTGTAAATGGTTCCGACGGGGCCTCGCTTCTTGCAGCATTATCCCATGTCACATGCTATGACGCTTAATAAGCGAGATATTGAGACGTTGGATCGTTTCCAGATGGAAAAATTGCTCTTTCATTTCGAGGGATTATTTCTGCCCCGTTAAAAGTCAAATTGTTTTCCTCAATAATGCGTAAGCGCGCCGTTCGTGATTTTATTTCGCTATATATTTTCCTAAAAATGCGCGCACAAAAATGTCGAGTCACGCAATACACATTTCGCCAAATCAGCACAATGCGAATGGCATATTCAACGTACTGTAAACAGGAATTTCGTATAAAACGAGTCTAAGTCTTTTTATCCGCTTCTATCGGATAGTATCCAATGCTCTTTGCCGAGAAAGGATTGCCCATTACCTGGTGTCATTATAATGATACTATTACGTTTAATTAAAGCAGCTAATTCCAGGAAAGTAATGCTGAGTGCATCACTCCTTACATTTTTCATGCCCCGTTACTCGATATCGGGACTTTAATGGCGAGTATTTATATCAAAGACGGGCACGTGGCAGAGAAAAGTTCCGTCTGGTGAACTTCTCCTCGAAAAATCGAGTCTAATCACGAGGGTCACCCTCGCGACGAGAATTAAGTGGCGGTCCAAAACGGACTGGCATGTCGATGGATGATATTCAATTTACTTTGCAACGCGCCGTTGATTTGTAGCGCGTGCGATTTGCATTGACGACAGAAAAAAATTTGGCAAGAGATTCCCGGCTAAATAAAAACAAACTAGATTTAAAGAACCAACAGGAACAAAAGAAACAAAAAAAAAAAATTGAAAAACATAGAAAAATAATGGACCTCTTTTTTTTCTTGTTTTTAATCCCTTCGACATGCTACTACGATGTAGGCGATATATTTTAACGCGACATTTCTCTCAATCATGTTTACGAGCTCGAAATGCTTCACATGGCACTTATAGTGCGAAGAAAATGGATTTTGCCAACGTACCTAGATATGCGTCTATTATAACAGAATAATTAACAAGAAAGTGTAATAATAAAAATTTCACGCTTACGCAATTGGAAATTTAATGTTAATTTTGTGTCCTCGATCACTAAAAATATTAATTATAAATTGTCAGAGTTAACGGCGGTATTATGGCCACATAAATTCGCAACACACATACAGATACATCCGGGCACATGGAAATTAGCTCAACGGCCTAATTTAGATGTACCCGGGCTTACCTAGCTTTGTCTAAATATCATTTATTCTGATAAATATACCACACAAATTTCGCGATAACGCAAATATAATTTATGTCTATTTGTTAAAAATAACGTATAAGATATCTCGAGATTTCATGTTCGTGTCAAATTATCGCGCGGTTTATATTTCAGTAAATACGTGAGAAATAATGAGACATTATATGTTGTACCCCAAAAACAAGCTATATGCTGACAAAAAACAAAAGAAATAGAATCTAAAAGTAGTTAAAAAAACTAAATTGAATCGTGATTGCAATACAGTCTCTCTCGATGCATGAAGCGGCGGTGGCTTGATTGCAAGGCGATTTTTTGCTTTCATGCTGCGCAGCTGAAACTTTCATAGAAAAGCAAACACGTTTACCCGGATTCGTCCAAAAGGCATCGAATCGACCGGGGCGGATGGTAGAATTGCCCATATTTGTTGAGGAGGAACGATATGATGGCTTGCGGGTACGATACTCCAGAAATCAAGATTCAAGTTTCGTGTCTCGTTAACCTCGTGACCTCTTCACGATCAATTTGAGATGAGATTTCATCCGTACGACAGCAGAAACTCAAGAAAAATGAATACAAGATATCACGATATTGCATTGACATGAAAAATGAAAAAAAATTTGAAGAACGTTATTCGTTCGAAGTTACTGTGTCATCTTCTCATGAGTGGACAGAATTACATACAAAATAGATTTGCATACCTCCTCGTTAAACCTTCGTTATCGTTTAAAAACATTTCATATTAATTAATAAAAATTAGTAACAAATGTATTTTACGTGTAATACGTAATAAATAAAAAAAATTTCGTGCTTTGCAAAAAAAGTTAATAATGTAAGTACTGCAGTACC